TTTCTTAGTTTTCTATCAAGAAGTTTTTAGTAACTGCCCAGAATCAAAACTTGTGCTTGTGCATACACTCGGATACTATAATCCTGTACTGCGCAGATGGCTTTAATTATTAAATAAAAATATTTTCTTACGACATTGCTGACTTGCTGTCGCTTGAATTGCATGATGATTCTGTATATGTTATTTAATGAAGTAGAGGCTCGATCGAGAAATTACCAATGTCTCACAGACTACCAGCGTAAAATAGCAGCTTAATGCTGCTGTGTTCGTATGGTAAGTGTGGAGAACCGGAGATAACATATATAAATATTTATATAAAATTAAGTACAAATTAACACACCTGGTACATGGAAGAAACAAATCACCATGAGTACAAACGGTAATAAACACTATCATCGTTATATGTTCCGAACAGACAGGCCTAATTATCCCGGCAAAGGCATCGGTATTAGCTTAATTGTTCAGTGGGTACAGCACTCAATATGAATGAGCTGATGTTAATTTGTGGACGGATTCAACTGGAACAGATCGGCCTATGAAATATTCGTATGCACTTAATTAATTTTACTTTGAGGGAATTCTAGTAATTCAATTATGTTTACATAATATTACATATTATTATTTGAGTATTAATAACACATGTCGGTTATTAATTGCTACGAGCATTATAACGTATATACAGTTAAGGAAACGTCTTTTTTTATATAGCCTATACGATATACATAACTTTCAAACTATTTCTTATGACGATCTGCAAAGTTACAATGTTGCGTTTGCTTGAACCAGCTGGATCATGATATCATTATCAGTCATCACATGAGATTTTGGTTTTATATAGACTTAGTTTACTCTCAAAACTAACATCATCATCACAATCTCGAAATTGTAAAATATCGTAAATAGTTAGCTGATAATGTACATAGAAAATAAAATTACGTACATAATATGAACTTTTAAAGACGCCTGATTAGCTCAGAAAGTCCTGGCGAAAGTAAAAAGAACAAAAACAAACAACAAAACATTTAAGCTACTAAATTAGAATATAATATATACATCTTAACAGTTTATATCACAAGATGGAAATAGTTAAGGTAAAAACTGTGACTTGGTATTGTTGCGTGCCTAAGTTGACGTCATGTACACGGCACTAGCGCCATCTAGTGTCAGGAACGAGAGCGGGGGGAGCTTTCCAGAAAATGACATCACTATTCTTTTAATCGACAGCGCCATCTGGTGTCGAAACGAAGAACTAAGCTTCTAGAAGCCGACACTCGAACTTTCGACGCCTTGTCGATTGGTGCGCGTATTTACTTGAATGTTCTGGATGTTTCGGTGCTAATGTGTATTTATAGGCGCTACAAGGTGCGACCGGGGAAGTATTGAATTCGGCGAGACAAGCGAAGTTTCGGAGCGAAATAAAGTCAATCAATGTGGTTAATTATTAGTGTTTTAAGTTTAATTAGTGTAAAGTGAAATAAAGTGTTAATTTTAGTAATTCAATCGGCAGTTTTTGTCGTCACGAACCTCAAGCTCGTAACAGTATTATTAAATTGCCGTTACCTGGATAATAGAAAGTTATGAAATATAAATAGTTATAATAACGTTACCCGTAGTAAAATAATAATAACTTCAGGTTATTTTTAAAACGTATAACCACCCACAGGTAGTGATAAGGATAATATATAATATATAAATGTATACATGCGTTAGTGCATGTGTTAATGATATCTTAACTATCTTTTATGAAATAAGAGTAACAAACAAGCAAACAGTCCACCTGGTGATAAGTGGATACTTTGAAATAATACTAGTTTTTACGGAATTTATCGCGTATATTTTAACTTTTTAAATACCCGACGTTTCGAACGCTTTACAGCACTCATGGTCACGGGCAGGACTGAGATGTTCAACGTCCATATGTCATAGTTAACCGCGGTTACCATAGATTAAAATTTAACTTTTGTTCCGATCTATGCAGTATGAACTTATGGTATCTTGAAGTCTTGCAGTTGTATGCTTGGGTTGGGATTTAATTTTATTTATTATAGGATCCCAAGCAGATGGTGGCACCCAGCCATCTTCTATATTGAAATTAGGATGTTTTTTGATTTCAATAGCCTCGCGAATCATCCTTGGAAGGAATCGGTGTTCTTTAGCGAGGATCTGCAGTCTATCAAATCTGATGTAGTGACGGGGGCGATCCTGTACGTGTTCACAGACTGCAGACCTACCGGAGCGTCGATTCTTCACATCAGCTATATGTTCTTTAACGCGGGTTTTTATTGATCTTTTAGTTTGTCCTATGTAGGAGAGACCACATTCACAATCAAGCTTGTACACTCCTGCATCTTGCAGAGGGACATTACACTTGACCGATAGTAAAAACTGACCAATCTTCTTCAGCGGCTTGAAGTATGTTTTGATGGAAGCACGCTTCAAGATGTAGCCAATCTTGTCAGTGACTCCTCTAACATATGGCAGTACAGCAGGTACACGCTCGACTGTGGCCGGCTTCACTCGTTCACTGTGACGTAGGCGCGGGACTCGAAGCTTGTTGTCATGCAAAACTTGCTTGACATGGTGGAGCTCTGCAGCCAGGTGTTTACTGTCACAGATCCCTCGTGCTCTCTGAAACAAAGATTTACCCATGGTAGCTAACTGTGAAGGATGGTGGTGAGAATCACCGTTTAAATATCTATCTGTATGGGTCTTTTTTTCTATACACAGTATGGCTCAAGGTGTTATCAGGATTCCGAATTACTAACACATCTAGAAAAGCGAAGGAATTGTTTGCCTCTAACTCCATTGTGAACTGAATTTTAGAATTTATAGAGTTAAGATGGTCTAAAAGTGCAGTTACTTTATCTAAAGGTAGAATTGTGAAAGTGTCGTCTACGTACCGCTTGTAGAACCTTGGATTTATGGGAGAACTAAGCAGGGCTTTCTCCTCAAAGTCTTCCATGAATATGTCGGCGACAATGGGAGATACAGGTGAGCCCATCGCCACACCATCTACTTGCTTGTAGAACTCCTCCTTCCACAGTAGGTAGCCAGATGTAAGGCAGTGTCTGAGTAATACTGCATATTCTACGGGCATGTTGTTTTCTTCCAGCCTTCTAGTTACAATTGAGATGCAGTCTTCAACAGGTAAGCATGTAAACAATGACTGCACATCAAAACTGACCATAGTTTCATTGTCTGCCAGATGTAGGTCTTTAATCTCGCTGACAAAATGGTAGGAATCCTTTATGTGTGCTTTTGTATGTCCCCTGAGTGGTGAGAGTATTTTCGCTAAGTGTTGAGCCAATCTGTAAGTTGGTGAATCGATCTGGCTCACTATGGGACGTAATGGAGCATTGGGCTTGTGTATTTTTGGTAACCCATACAATTTTGGTGATTTGGCGCACGTAGGTATTATCCATTTTACGTCCAGATTTAATTTTTCGGAGTGTTTCTTTATGAGGTCACTAGTTGTTTTTAGTGTGCTATTTGTTGGGTTGTTTTTAACCTTTTTATAAGTACTTACATCCGACAAAAGTTCTTGTATTTTAGAATTATAATCTGACGTATCCATGACTACTGTGGCGTTTCCCTTATCTGCGCGGATAATCGTAAGTTCGTGTTTATTGCGTTGGTTCTTTAACGCTATAAATTCGTCTTTGGGAAGATTCGGTTTAGGCACTGAACATCGACGTAACATAGACGAGATGTCTTGACGTATCGCCTCCAAATCTTCTTTCCGCATATTGTTTTTAAATAAACAGTCCTCGACACTACAGATAATTTCTTCGTACGGTAATTTGCGGGGTGTAATTGCAAAGTTGAGGCCTTTGGATAAAACCCTAATTGTTGCATCATCCAGTGTTTGTTTTGACAGATTATAGAGCGCGATTAATCTATGATCTGTGTTTGTCAATGGTTGCTTTCGGTTCTGGCATTGATTCAGATGTTTGACATTTGACTTGTTCGTTAATTTTTGATATTTTTCTATATGTTTGTTTTTGCATTCATTATATTTACTAATTTCGCGTTTATTTAATGTTTCCATGCAAAAATTAAAAAAAAACACACGTATGGTAACCGCGGTTAACTATGACATATGGACGTTGAACATCTCAGTCCTGCCCGTGACCATGAGTGCTGTAAAGCGTTCGAAACGTCGGGTATTTAAAAAGTTAAAATATACGCGATAAATTCCGTAAGAACTAGTATTATTTCAATGTGTAGTATTCGCGTAAATATAAGAAATCATTAAGTGGATACTTACGCCCATAGACATCTACATAATATTATATCTTCATTTAAGAATCAAAATGCAGATGGGTTGTCACCCCTAAGGACTAACATGGAATGCCCTTTTGCAGTAACTATTTGTAACTATGTAGTAGGTTATGTTATATATATATATATATATATATATATATATATATATTAGAGCTTTTTTTTTCTCGGACCTCGGCAGCGAGCACACGTATTCAAGTTATCGTCATTTTATTTTAAAAATTAAGTTAAATTTAAAATAGTTTTTAATTATACTAAAAAAATAGGAGCGCATAAAGTAAAAAAGAGCTCTCAGTTAGTGACGTCACCTGCGAAGCGCGATATCACAAACATCAAGCAGCGCCCCGCCAACTGCCATCACGGAAATCGCGGCGACCAATCACTGCTGACCCGGCTACGCACGCACCGCCCAGCCTCGTACTGACCATCTGCTACGCAACTTGTAGCGGCCATCTTCTTAGCTACGCTCTTTTTGGTCAGTCATAATTCACTTAAATGTTTATGTGCGCCTAGTACTTCAAGTGTCAGACCTTCTTACTTTGCAATTATAGTAATTTTGATCTATTTAAGAATACTTGTTTATGTGCGCCTAGTACTCCCAGTGTCAGACCATCTTACTTTGCCATAACTTTAAGCGAAAGCACTCCGAAAAAACAGTTTCGCTAAAGGAACTATCACCTAACGTACACAGACAGGGGTTTTTAAATATCTACGGTGCTATGGCTTCAAATACAAAATTGTGCGCGGGATGTTTAAATAAAATAACTAATAAGGACTTTGTAACATGTTCACTCTGCAAAGATATATATGACACAGTATGCGCTAATATCTCTCACCAACGCCTTATGCTGCTGGAGAAAGACAAGAAAGAGAAATGGATCTGCCCTGGTTGCAGGAATAAAGAGCGAAAGGGTGGCAATTCAAACACCCCCATTCAGTCCAGAACGGGCCCGCGCGACTGTGGTGATTCGTCGCAGGAAATTAGTACTCCTAACAATGATTACATAACACAGCGTAAAAAACCTCAACTACTTAGTAATCAGAAGGTGAGTTCACCTACACAACCCGGAGATGAATCCTTAATGCTTACAATTAGATCAGAAATTAAATCATCAATGGGAAAATTTTTTAAATCAAGCTATAGAGGAGTCATCTATAAAAATGGATTTAAGAACTATAAAAGAGGAGTTAAGTTCCTTAAAAGATATCAAAAGCGGGCTTGAATTTTTAAGTGCGGAATATGATAGAATGAAAAAAGAATTAAAAACGCCAGAAGAGCACATAAAGTCACTTTCAGCTGAAAACAGCAACTTACATACAAAAGTGAACGATTTATCAAATAGACTTGTTTTGCTTGAGCAATACTCGCGTGAGACGAACATTGAAGTGAATGGTGTTCCGGAAAGTAAGACTGAAAACTTAATTAATGTTGCCAAACAAATATGCAATACTGTATCTATTCCAACCGATCTCATCGAAACAGCTACCTGTACCAGAGTTAGGAAGATGAATGACTCAAATAAGAGGCCCCGCGCAATTATTATAAAACTTCCTTCAGTAAAAACTCGTGATGAGATACTAGCAGCGGTAACACAATTCAATAAAAAGAACGCATCCAATAAACTAAACACAGGACATCTGGGATACATAGAAAGCAAGTCGCCTATTTTCGTCTCCGAACATCTAGCGCCGTATTTTAAAGCTCTACACGCGCGGACTCGTCAAGTTGCTCGAAAAAAGCAATACGATTTTGTCTGGATCCGTAACGGCCGTATTTTTGTTAGAAAAAATGACCATTCCCCTGCAAAACAAATAAAGAGTTACGATACCCTAAACACACTATAACAATACTTGGACATTTTTAACGGGAATTGATTAACGCATAAAAATGGCTACCTTAAAGATTTATTACCAAAATTTTAGAGGCCTGAAAACTAAAACTAAAGACTTAAGACTTGCAACTTTGTTGGGAGACTACGATGTTATTGTTGGGACTGAAACCTGGTTGGATGACAGCGTTTACGATGACGAGCTATTTAGCAACAACTATTATGTATACCGTAGAGATCGCCAATCAACCAGCCTAGCAGGAAAAGGTGGCGGAGGCGTTTTGATCGCCGTTTGCATTAAGTACCACTCGAAGAGAATGTTTCACTATGAAAGCACTGGAGAGGATTTGTGGATATCAGTAAACACATCGACAGATAAAGCGATTTTAATTGGTGCCATTTACATACCACCACCAATAACTGTGTCGTCACTCGAACCTATTATCGACAACTGCAGTGATGTGATTTTATCTCATTCCGGTGATGTGATTATTTTAGGTGATTTCAACCTCGGATTTATAGACTGGAATAAAGAGTCAAGTGGATGTTGTAACTTGACTCCATTAAATTATCAGTGTAGCTTAGGGTACTTATTGATTGACTTTATGTCGTTAAATAATTTGTCTCAGTTTAATCATGTCGTAAACCATAACAGTCGTATCTTAGATCTCGTCCTAAGTAACTTAGACAGTATAATAGTCGATAATTGTATTAATCCGCTCTGCAAATTAGATTCGCACCATCCAGCTCTGTCGATTGGGTTCAGTTCATATAAGTATCACTCTTTACGTAACAAGCAATTTGCAACGTATAATTACAAAAAAGCTGATTATGCAATTGTAAAAAGTAAATTAAGTCATATCGATTGGGTCAAAGAACTGTCGGATCTGGATGACGTTGATATCGCTGTTTCAAAATTTTATCAACTTTTATATGATGTTATTCAATCAACTATACCCAGAACTAAACGTCGTAGTTTGAAATATCCACATTGGTTCACAAGAAACCTTATAAAATTAATAGCCGAAAGAAATAAAATTCGTTCAAGATACAAGATTTACCGGAATCCTAGAGATAAGATTGAACTTATCTTATCTAATAAACGCGTAGAGTCATTAATGTCAACTTGCTACAATACATATTTAAAAAACACTGAATATGCTCTCATTAAAAACCCAAAAAAATTCTGGTCATATGTCAAATCCTTACGTGGAGGTCTTTCCAACTTACCGTCTGAGATGTATTTGGACGACAAGGTTGCGCGTGGTAGTGAGGAAATTTGTAATCTTTTTGCAACACGTTTTTATTCGATTTACTCTCCCCCTGACAATTCAACGCAACCGGATCTTGGAGATTGCTATCCACAATTAAATCTAAGCAATGTTGAAATTACAGAGCGAGACGTCGAGAAAGTATTAAAGTCAATTGACTCTAATAAAGGTGCTGGACCGGACGGCATCCCACCCTACTTTATTAAAAAAACGTATAAATATTTAACTCTCCCACTTAAATTGCTCTTCGATAAATCAATTAAAACTGCAAAATTTCCTGACGAGTGGAAAGTTTCCAATGTGATACCCATCTACAAAAAAGGTGACAAAAGCAATATTGAAAACTACCGTCCTGTTTCTTTATTAAGCTTGTTTGCTAAACTATTAGAAAAAATACTCTGCCCCATTTTGTCTTCTCATTTATCAAAGGTAATTTCTAACTGTCAGCACGGTTTTTGCGCAAATAAGTCCACAGTTAGTAACCTACTAGAATACACCTCGAACTTGGCGAGATATGTTGATAAAAATAAAGAGGTTGATGCTATATACACCGATTTTAGTAGCGCGTTCGATAAAGTTAACCACGCCATTCTTTTGTCCAAATTAAATTATTATGGTATTCACGGCAACATATTGAATTGGATAAAATCCTACTTATTTAATCGAATTCAAAGAGTAACAATACAGGGTTTCAAGTCTTTTTCGTTTTATCCAACTTCAGGCGTTCCACAGGGATCGCATATCGGCCCTGTTCTCTTTTTGGTATTTATAAATGACATTTCTGCTCACATTTCCTTTAGTAATTACTCAATATTTGCAGATGACTTAAAATTGTATAAGGTTATAGAGTCTCCAGATGATGTAGTTAGATTACAGACAGATCTCACCTCTATCTCAGATTGGTGCAAAAGTAACAAAATGCTACTAAATCCTAAGAAGTCTGTTTATAAAAATTACCAGAAGGAGAAACACTATTCCCTCCAGTTATTTTGTAGACGGAGAAAAATTAACAGAATCCGAAGTAGTCCGTGACCTTGGCGTAATGATCGATAAAAAATTAAATTTCAACATCCATATTGATAATATTGCATCCAAAGCATGGAAGATGGCAGGATTCGTAAAGCGAATATGTAAGGATTTGCGGAACCCTACACCTATTCTCACTATATACAAAGCTCTTATTTGTAGCACACTAGAATATGCATCACCTGTTTGGAACCCATTATACCAAATTCACAGTGATCGAATAGAGCGTATCCAGCGCAATTTTACCCGCTACTTAGCCTTTAAAGATCAAACTTGTCCTTACCGTGCTGACTATAATACTAGGCTATCCCACTTCAAATTACAGTCTCTCGGAAAAAGACGTCGACTTAGTGATCTTAAAACACTTCATAAGCTAATTCACGGCCTCCTACTATCACCGGCACTGTTAAATCAATTAAGTATCAGAGTTCCAAGATCTATTCCAAGACATCCGATTACCAAAATCTTCTGTTTACCCAACCAGAGAACGAATTTAGGTAAACGAGCCCCAATAAATAGGTTAATGCAAACGTATAACGACATAACCACCAACGGCGACGTCGATATTTTCCATACGGATAACGTATTAAAATTTGCTAGATTATGTAATAAGTACTTATAACTCTTTCTCTCTTTTTCAAGTTTAGCATTCGTTTCATTGTAATCAAATTACTTGTAAATTTATTGTATATTGTTCTAGTTAAGTAAGTTAACAACTTTCTTATATTAGCTGCACTATTTTTGTGAAGGTTGTATATACCTTTAAAGGCGAATCATTTTGAACAAAACCAATTGTGTTATATTTAACAATGTCTAGTGATAAGCCAATGGTGTATCTGTTAAATAAATAAATAAATAAATAAATAAATAAAGGCCTTTAATTTTTCCAAGTCAGTACCAAAATACCTTAAATTTTTACAAACTAACCAATACCATTAATATTTCAAGATTAGAAAAAAGTTATTCCCTGAATTTTTCCAGCCTTCCACCCCAGATGAATGTCTTGAACTGGAAAATTCACCAGTAGATAGTTCTCGGCGTGCGTGAGCCGTATTGACGTTTATTGAGAATGCCAATATCTTTGAGGTAATTTTCAAGGTATACATATGCTAAGTATTGAATATAATTTAGGTAGTTATATTTATATTTTATTTCATACTAGGTATCGATTGAAACTAATTTTACGAGTTTTATCGCGTTCAATTTGAATTATTTTTGAATACCGACGTTTCGGGTGCTTTCCAGCACCCATGGTCACAGAGGACTGAGATAACTGACGTCCCGATGTCATTGTTAAATGAAGGAATTTGAAGGTACTCCGGTACCTTCAAATTTATTAATTACTAGCTGTTACCCGCGGCGTGAGTTTTATAGATTTGTCAGAGATGCAGCCATTAAAAGGAAAGTGAGCAAAATTGATTCGTCAGCCTATTTAAATGTTTTGAAACGCAGCGTATATGAAAGCATGAAAATAGGCTGTTTATTCCAAATGGAAATAGGATAATTTTTTAATTAAAGGAAACTGAGCACAATTATCCGTCAGGGATGCAGAATTTTGAAAAGAAACTCAGCTAAATTGATTCGTCAGAGATGCAGTTTTCTGAATTTAAAGGAAATTGAGCCAAATAAAAGATCCGTCAGAGATGCAGCCTTTTAAGTTGAAAAGAAACTGAGCTAAATAGGAAATTTTGAATTGAAAGGGAAGATCTGTGGGAATTCTGATTAATTGATTATGGGAATTTTGAAAAAAAAAACTAACTGAACACTATTTTAAGACGCTACTGTACACAATGTTATATGCTTTTCCATTCGGGAAAAGAATTTGGACATTCTGGGCATTTGACACACGCGAACATGTTACATACAGCTGATCATGGGAGAAGCACGGTTTTTCTAAGTTGACCCCCGCTACCTGTAACGTTTGCCCTTGCGATTTATTAATTGTCATTGCAAAACCAAGCTTAATAGGGAACTGCAACCTTTTGAATTGAAAAGGAAGATCTGTGGGAATTATAGGAATCCGTGGTATAATAACATTTTCACGTTTTCCTACGCCTGTCAAAATTGTAGCACCGATTATGTTCCATCCAAGATGTG